CAAGGAGGGAGGGAAGATTCTTAAATTGTCAGGTCTGGAAATGTTCAGAGCAATTAATTGATCTTTGGATTACAGCAGAGTATAAAGGGCAGAACTGTGCTCATCTGTGTGTTTGTTTTCTTTCAGATCTAAAAGTGTAACAAGTTCCAGCAGCAGCAGCAGTGACAGTTCAGCTAGTGATTCCTCATCTGACAGTGATGATTCTTCTACCTCTTCTTCTTCTGATAGTGACAGTGATGAGAGCTCCTCCACATCCTCCTCTTCTCCATCCTCCAGTAGTACTTCCTCATCTTCAGAGTTTGAATCAGATTCCAGTTCCTCCAGCAGTAGCAGTAGCAGTACAGACAGTAGTTCTGATGATGAGCCACCAAAGAAAAAGAAGAAGAAATAATGAACAGGGAAGAACTGCTTCTGAGTGAATTATAACATTCTTCAAAGAGGTTTTGAGCACGTGGTTGCCAAACAGTTTAACTGGTCAACATTTCTTCTGCTAAAACTCTCTAAATGTTCTGTGTCGTTCATAGGACATGAAAGGTATTAAATGGCACGTGAAACTTACTGAAAGAGTATTTTTGAGGTTTATCATTTTATGGGAAATCTTACTTTTTTAGTTTAAAAGTCTATCATCAGATTTGTTTATATGAGCTGAGGCCCAGTAGCCTGGATGTTTACGTGCTGGAACGCAAAATCTCTTTATTTCAGATCATGCTGTGCATCGTGTTCTACTGCTCTGTTTATGGCGACTTCTCTCACATTTAGAAAATCCTCTAAACTATCAGAAGCAAAAGCTTCACACTGCTGCCTGTGGTGCACTGCCATTGCTGGCGTGGAATGCTCAGTGCACACGGAGGACCTGCCATCTCACTGTTAACAAATTCGTGCTGCTGAGCTTCTTTCTGGTGGCTTTTCCCGATGCTTCCAGGCTGAGTCTTACCTGCACCGCAGAACTTTCAGTGGCGTTCCTTTGTTCATGCTGGATGTCCTACTTGTGCTGTACAGAGGCTTTGCCTGTTTCCACAGTTCGTGTATTTGTTGTGCTTTTCTGAGACGGTGTCTCTTGCAGCAATGTCTGTGTAAGAAAGAGGAGCAGTGCACGATGGAAGGATTGACTGATGCTGCTTAGGAGTTTCATCTTTGTGCCTTGTTTTGTAAATCACTTGTATCCTATTGGAAGAAGGGCTTGAATAGGTGTATTTCAGAACTATTAGCTTTCAGTATAGAATAGGCAGTAAAAATGGTAGTAACAAACAAAAATGGCACTATTTTTAGGAGAAAGGAAGGCTATTTTCACTGAATGTTCAGTGAGGAGAAGAGTCGTCTCTAAATGGAATTCCCAAAGGAGAGAGTTTCCCTTTTGATATTTTTGCAAAAAAAAAAAAAAAGTTGTGTAATGTGAGACTGCCAAGCTGTGCTGTTGGGCAGGTGGTGGCTGGTTGTGGTCTGCAGTAGGAGCAGCCCTGCGCTCATGGAGGTGTGTGTCTGTGAGACCCTGCAGCAGGAGGTGCAGGTTGGTGCAAAGGAAAATCCCAACGTGCTGCAGAACAATTACTGCTGGTTGCAGGTTGAAACTTCTGTGTTCGTTTGGTGGATTTGAGCATTGGCATTCGTTTTCTCATTTGGGATGTTGACTCCTGGATTTCTTATTGTTGGAGTTCCCTTTTTTTTTTGGGAGGGGACGTCACACGTGGAAGAATTCTTAAATATCTTGATTTAGGTAAAATATAGTAACTATTTTTTATATTTTTATGGAAAATGCAGTGTGTAGTATTACTTTTGAATAAACTGTGCTTATATTTAAATGTTTGAAAATATGTATGTTGTGTGTTTTAGTCTGTAATCATTACTGTGTTTTACAGAACGCTGCAGACTTGTAAATAAAATTAACAGAAAATCGTTTGAAGTCCTCCTTAGTGAATGTACTGTTTAATGGGAAAAAGTTAAGTTATTAAACGGTGCTTTCTGAGTTCATGCTTAATGGCAATCAAAATGTAAGTGATACAGTAGTAAAGCGTGGAAGAGGCGGTGGTGGTAGGGAGCAGGCATTTGGAGAGCTGTGTTCTTAGAGGTGACCCGAATCCCAGCCCTGTGACAGCTTTGGCAAACTGATGACTGAAGCAGGTTGTTGGGAAGCTTGCAGCCCTGACTTCCATTGTAGGGGCACAGCAGGAATGGGGGACTGCTGGAAGAGGACATAGCACCCATTTCATGGAGACTGTGTGCAGAGAATGCAGGCGCTCGCTCTGGGTGGCGTTGAGCTGAGCAGCAGTAGCAGCAGTGTGGATGTGAAGGGGGACTGTGATGAGGAACAGCAGTTAATTAGGAGGGAGGGGACAAGGGATCAAGTCTCAATTATCTTTGCCGCCCTATTAAGATCGTGTGGGGTGTTTGTTTCTGCAATCTGTAATGCTGCCAGTACTTGTGTGGGTGGTTCATCAGAAGTGTAGTGATATTCCTCATTAACTCATCTCTGCCAAGAAAGGAAAGTTGATGATTGTCAAACAGCCTGCTAAGTGCTAAAGCCAGTCACTAAGTTCAGGGGTTGGTCTCTTCCTACTTCTGTTTGCAGTGTCTGCAGCCAGCTAAATTGGGTCAATTCACCAAGGCAAAAGGAAATCCTTGTGTATGTTATGTTCTGTTAGCAGGAGATATGAGAAGGTAATATAATTACAGATAACATTCAGGAAACCTTAATTTCTAGCCCACTGTTGGGTTATGAGTGGGGAGACTGAGGTGTCTTACTGCTTTAACTGCATATCACATACTGCCTGGAGCTGATAAGGTCCCAGACCAGCCACAAAGCTATCTACTCTTACATTGGGTGTTTACTTTTGAGTATGTTTTATTTTTGTGAGTTTATGTATCTTGTTTTACAGATTAAAACCCACCAGCATATGAAGAGCCTTCCTTACCAGTTCACCTTTCAACACACTGCATCCTGATACCTTGTCACAAGATGCTTCAATTCCAATCCTTTTTGACAGGTATTTCTTTAATTACCATCCTTCAGAGCTCTAGGTTAAGTACAGGAGGGCATTAATTGGAAGCAAACAAAGCAACCCTCCCTTCTCTGAAATTATTTACTGAGCATGTATATTTTTACATGAGAGTTGTGTATCTTGGATCAGGTTCAATTTAATCCTTCCTATTTCAAGCAAAGCTGCCATCACTAATTGAAGTGAAGCAATTGATGCAGTCTGGTAGAAAAACAGCCTCAGGAAAAGGCATTGCATTTCAAGGGAAAACAGTGCTGAGTGATAGGAGAGCAAAAGAAGGGGGGAAACCTGATATTCTAGTGTAAAGCTATTGGGTGGATTTGCTTTATACAGAAATCATTCCATGTACCTGAGCCTCATGGATGTAATCTGTTTTATGAAGTCACATTTATCCAAGATGTGTCTCTAACCAGACACTGAGACAGGAGTGGGGTCAGGCAGGTCTTCACAGCCTAATTTTGTTCAAAATGTGTTTTTTAAAAAAAAAGTGTGCGTGGGGGGAGAGGCATTAGGAACAGTACAAAACGTGACACAGAATATCAGCTTGAGAGGTGATACCCCAAAATGCCACTGTCAAAATATAACTATGAAGACATGATTGAGTCGTAACAGGAATGAAGCACTTTGATTACTTGCTGCTCCTCTATTTACACTGCAGCGTTACTTTCTCAGCGAAGCTGGCTGTGTCCTCCCCACCTCCATAAAGCAGGGAAGCTGTTGGCACTTAACTTTGAGACAGGGCAGAGTTCATCCCCGTATCATCGTATTTTGTAGTAATGTTGGTAATATCTTGGTTTCAGAACAGAGCTCACATTTAACTGCCAGTAACAGCAGTTGATCTATTGCAGATGGCGCCAGGCTTAGCTCTATTGGATGTTTTTACAGCGTCTTTGCAGGAAGGTTCCCTGCAGTCAGAGCCTCCATTTGGATGTGGTGCTCAGGGCCGTGGTTCAGTTAAGAGTTGGGCAGTACGGTCAGCTTGTGACTTGATGATCTTGAGGGTCTTTTCTAACCTGAGCAATTCCATGATTCTTTTTAAATGCTGGAGTTTAAATTGCAGTCGTACAAGAATTTTTTTTACAATTCTGCTGCATTTTATTTGCACGCTTTAACCTGTATCTTTTAGTATGAACACGAAGTAGAACTGCGCTCCACCGCACTTAAAGCCATCTGCTTCCACAAACCAGCTCTGATGTATTTATTTTTGTTTTGCACGGGAACTTTTACACAGTTTAAACTTGCAGGCTTTTCCACGATCACCGACTTTGGGAATTCTCTTCTTTTAAAAGCTCTCCCATGTGGAAGAGCCGTTCCTCGGGCGAATCCACCTCCTGAGGTGGTGGCTGCGCTTCCGCCCGTTGTTTCGGCTCGGAGCCGCGCTCCGTTCCGCCGGGCTGCGGCGGCCAGAGCCCGACCGGGAGCCGTCGCTGCCCGCACGTGGCGGTGCTGAGCGCGGTCCGGGCGAGGCTGTGGAGAATTGTTCTGCGCCCCGCCCGACGGGAATCCGTTCTGGGTCTGCGATCTGCCCTTAGAGGAACGCGGGCCGGCCGGTACCGGCGCGACGCGGGGGATGAAGGCGCGCTCCCAGCGGTGACGTGGAGGTGACGTGAGGACGTGCGGCGCCGCGCAGCTCCCGGCACGGCGCGGGGGGCGGCGCTGAGGGCGGGGCGGAGCCTCGCAATGACGTGGAGTGAAGACGAATTCCGTAAGCGGGGCTCCATTCTCGCTCCCGGGGTGCGGCGCGGCCCGTGACGTGACGTGACGTGACGTGACGTGACGTAACGTGACGTAACGTAACGTAACGTAACGTAACGCTGCCGGAGTGGTCACGTGCCCGCGGAGTCTCTCTCTCTCTCTCCCCCCACCCCGCCTCCCAACCGTCGGCGGGTCACGTGAGCGGCGCGGGGCTGCGGCGGCGCGGGGACTGCCGGGAAGCGCGAGTGCCCGGCTGCGGGAGGAGCCGCGGCCCGGCAGGACGGGCGCAGGGCGGGCGGCAGCCGGAGCCGGGCCCAGGGCCGCCCAGGCCGACGTCGCCAGCCCACCCCGAGCTCGTCTCGCCGCCAGCCCGGCCCCGGACCCCGCGATGGAGCGGCGGGAGCCCTGGGGAGCCGCCGTCGCCTCCCGCCTGTGAGCCGCTCCTCCCGCCCCGGGCCTCGTCCCGCGCAGACAGCCGGGCCTGCCGCTCGCCCTCCGCTGCCTCGGGGCTCCTCGCACCCCTCCTCCTCTTTCTCCTCCTCCTTCTCTCCGCCCGGCGAGCCGGTGGCGGCAGCCAGGAAATGGTCCGGGCCTAGCGGAGAGCGGCGAACGGAGGTGAGACGCGGCCGGGGGTGGGGGCGCGCCGGGCCGGGCAGCGCCTCCCGCAGGGATCGGAGCCACGGCGGGGCGGGCCGGGATCCCTGCGGCGGCTCCGCGCCCTGGGCGGCCCCTGTCCGGCGCTGTCCTCATCCCGGCACAGCCGCCCCCATTTGTGTCCGCGGCGGGCCTGGCCGGCGATCCCCGGTCCTTCGGGGAGCGGAACCCCGCGGGCCGCCGCTAAAATGTCTGCTCGGGACGCCACCGGGTGCTGCTGGGGCCGGCGCAGCCTCCTCTCTGGGCCGCGGGGTTTAATCCTTTTTCTGATTCGATCCCGGGGCTTTGTTCCTTCCCCTTCGCTCTGTTTTCGGCACCGAGCGGCTGTGCAGAAGGGACAGGGCCGGGGGGCTCTGTGTGCCGCTGCGGGCGCGGCCGATCACCGGGAACAGGGACTGCACGGCTCAGAAGGGGCTGCTGGCCGTTGGTGTATTGCTGTTACGTAAAGAATCACCCGCGATGAGGATGGCGTTATGCTCTGTCACCTAACATTCCTGAACCCGGGTTGACAAGGTGTTTTTTTTTTTTTTTTTTTCCAGTCAGTGCTGTTGGGTGCTGGGCTGCAGAGCTCAGTGCTTTCATTTGCTGACTGTTCTGTTTGCATCTTTAAATGGGAAAGTGGCAAACTTCATGACTTCCTTTCACCTGAGTGCTTACACCCGTGCCTCAAGATTGGTCTGGAGCGCTGATGCCCCGATGAGAGCAGTGCCTCCTGTGGGCCCATCTCACAGCCCATCTCCATTGCACTCCTATGTGATCATTTCCTTATGAAGGCGCTGACGGAGCTGTGTTCCCACTGATGTCAGTCTGCCCTCCCACTTGCCTCCTGCGAGCAGAGCAGGCACTTACTCAGCACTGACACTCTTGGAAATTAACTTGTTCTCCTCAAGCGTCTGCCTTTATTTTCACCACACTGCCAGCTCTCTTCTCCTTACTGCACTACTCAGAAGTGCTTCTCCAGCTCCTTACTGTGAGAGGGAGTGCTGTGCAGCCTGGGGCGTTATTGTGAAATAGGGTCCAGTCAAGTGATGGAAGGAGTGGCATTCAGTATCTCCTCTAATGAGGGAACCGCCATTAAAATCACAGTGCTGCTGTTGTGTCCTGTGCCCCAGCGAGGTGTGTGATGTTCAGCCTTAGCCCTGTTGGTCCTGTGTGGCTATGGTACGCGAGCCGTACAGCGGCTCGTATGGTGATTGTGGAGCTCTTGCTGTCAGTAACAGGAAGGGAAACTTTTCCATTGGGCATGGTGAATATTTTGGCTGTCTTGGTGTATTAGTATTATCTTCTATGATTTCCCAACTTCGGCGTATGTGTTGTATAGCGTTGTACAAGAGCAAATTCTCCTCTGCTCAATGCTGTTCTTAATCATGAAAGAACACAGCAAAGTTCAGCTCCAGCTTCAAAAGCAGATTAAAGCCCTGATATTTTCTTCCCAGCTCTTAGTTACTGCTTTTCTCAAACATTGTGAGAGGGAGATGGAGCACCTGGGGTTGGTTTTCTTCATCAGTTTTGTTTAGGAAGCCACACAGCAACCAAAAAAAAAAAAAAGATATTTGTGTGTCTTTTGCATTCTTCCCAGTTATAGTGATGTGAACTTGATAAAAATCCAGTGAAATATTTCGTGCTTGTCTTTTTAGTGATATGGAATGTGTTTTTCCCTGGTTATAACCCAACTATTTAATGAAAGAATGCCACTTTTTTTTTTTTTTTTTAATCTGCAAACACCATAGAGTTTGCATTGTTCAGGTTTTGTAAATAAATACTTTCAGCAGAAGTCTGTCCTGACCTCACAGTTGGTAGATAATAAGTTGGCAAGCACACTTGAGTTCCTCCTTCCTTTTCTAGCTCTCAGCTGCTGCCAAAGGTGCTCTGCTGCACTTTGTGTTCCACAGTGGTTGCTCCTGGATGTCAGATGTGACTGAAGGCACACAGCTTGTGTGTTACTTGCTGAGAGAACCGTGCCCTGTCTCTGTTGAAGCAGACAGGACTGTGACCAGGTGGTGGATGGGGAAGCTCAATGCTGTCTGTGTTGCTGAGAGCAGCCATAACTGCTCATCACTGCTTCAGCGCCTCTGTTCTTTTCCCTCCTGCTCATTGTCTTCTTTGGAGAGTTCCTTGTAGTTGTTACTAGTCTTTTCCTTTGCTTTAGATCACCAGAAGGCTGTACTGAGGGCAGAAACAGCAGCAAGCGATGTCTGTGTTTGAGGCTGAACACTGAGTGCTGAGAGGTGAAATGGGCAGCTGTCCTGCAGGCAGATTTGTCCCTGTTAGAAAGTGGGGGAAGAGTGCTAGGATCTTCCAGGAGGCCACGTTAATGGGCAGCAGTGTGTTTGCAGAGCTGGGAGAAAGTGACACAGCGTCGTGTGTGGGGTCAGAGGGTGTCAGAATAGATTAGAGATTTTAGTGACTGTGAGGTTTGTTCTCTGCAGCAGTAATTTCACATTGCTACATGTGTGTGCTTTGTTCTATGGGCAGGCTTCTCTGCTGTTACTGTAAGCTTGCAGTTACCTTCAGACAGGGGCTGAGAAGGAATAAAACCCAAGTCTGCTGCCTCCCAGGTCGTTCGTTTTCAGTGTCTCACTTGGAGTTTGTGTCACAGAGCAGCTGATGTTGGTGTTGTCTCCAAAGCAGAAAACCTCCAAGTTGTGAAGAGATGGAGGAGCCATAGCATGGAGAGTGCGAAAGCGAGTCAGGAAGCTTTAAGAGTTTGTGCTTCGGTAGAGCAGCGTTAGATGTATGTAAAATATATTGCTAGCTGTATTAAAACAAGAAAATGAGAAAGTGAATTGATGGAACTGCAAAAGCAAAGATGAAATAACTTAATCTAGCAATTACTCTTCTCTTGCAGGGTTGTTCCTTTTCTGCAGTTACTCAGGGCTGACAAGATGACTTTTACCTTGTGAAATGTTAGGGGTTCTGTCGCAGCTCAGGAAATATAACTGCAGAGGCTCCGGCTCCTTCCTGTCATAAAGCTTTTCTCCTGAGTTTAGTCAGCCAATATTTTTATAGCAGTACTGTTCTTAGGCTTCTCTTTTTTTTTTCTTTTTTTTTTTCCTTCTTTTCCCCTCTGGAAACCCAGACGGATTTTCTCTTGCAGTTACTGTGTCACTGGAGGGACGTATCCCTGCTGCGGCGGTGCTGGGAAGGGGAGGGCGGTGGCACTGACCCCACGGAGGTGCCTCGCCGTGCTGTGGGAGCAGGGCTCACTTCCTCGCCTGGTCTCGTGCCAGCTTTGTACGTGCAGTCCTGAATCCCACTTTCCCATTTAGCTGCAGGACTGTTTGCATCATGTGCTCATGGCTCCTTTAGTGCCTGCCGTCTCCCCAGGCTCTCCAGTTCTTACTGCTTTCCAGATTTCTTTCTCTAACTTTATTTCAAACCTCCTTTTTTCCCGAGTGCGGTGAACTGTTCTGCTTCCCAAGAGCATTGGCTTGTAGCTCTTCAAGTCGTCGTGTCTCTTGTTCTTACTTGATTTGTTAATTATTCCTGCTGACGAATGTGAAACCCAGTTTATTAATAGCACCAGGTACCAACAGGAGGAAGAAACCCTCATGTGCTTGTACTGTACAAACACAGAATAAGAGAAGTTCTTGCCCTGAAGTCTTGAACTAATTTTCTTCTGTTAACAGCTCATTACTGCTGTTTGCCTGCACTTGGTTCTGTTGAGGCGTGGTACCAGCCCTGCCTCGCTGAGCAGCTCCCCATTTATTGATCTCTCTTTATCGAGTCAATCTCCCTTTTTATTCATGATTACTGATATTAAATGATTATTGAGAACTCAAACATGTTAGTTGTCCACTAATTTAATTGTTTTAAAATTTGTTTTAAAACTAAACAAATTAACAGTGTATTTTTACTAATGTTATCCTGTAACGATCGTGTTTTTCAGTACAGACATCCCAGATCTCTCACTGCTGATAATTCTATTCCTCTCCAACCCAGAGAAGTCTCTTGCTATGTATTTCCTTACAATTATAGGGCAGAATAAAGACTATGTGTAGCAGCCAGCAGCTGGCATAATGCTGCAGCTCTCTTAAAGCTGGCATCATGGTTAAAAGAATGATGTTTCCTTCCTTATCTGCAGTCTGTGAAAGTGGCTTTAAGATGTGTATCCTTCCTTTAGGCCGGGCTTGAAACTGTCCTCAGCTGCTGAGTTTGGTGGCTCTTGAATGGAGTGTCGTGGTTCTGTGATGTTTGGTTCTCGGTGTTCCACATCGTAACGTCGTGTGGGGCACTGGGAGTTTAACTGTTAGTGCTCGAGTTCTGGGTGCCTGCCTGGAAGAGAAGAGGAGCTACATTCCCATGACATGGAGGAGCAGGAGGGAACTGTGTGTGCGTGCCTCTTCTTGTGGCTCGGGGATGTCAGAGCACCTGCATTAAAGCACAGGGAATTCCAAACTCAGTGCTTTTAAAGCTTTTTCCTACGTGTGGTGTTAAAATGAGGAGGCGTCCAGATTCTGGTACCCCATAACTTCATAGTCTTTAGGAAACAAAGGTGGATGCTTGGTGTGATTGGGTTGCATTGCACGCTGCTTGATGCTGTTTGCCACGCAGATGCGCTGGGCACTGCTGGCCTTCCCTACAGGTGCTGCTGTGTTTAACTGCATTACAGCACCACCTGCTTCTTTTCCAGAGTGGCCTCTTCAGGCAGTCGTCGTTGGAGCAGAGCTGCACTTTTCCTAAGTTGATACAAGGCAACAGTGGAGACCTGAGTGCGTTTCTTGGTGTCGCTTTTCTTGCTCTGCTGTATCTGCATTTTTTAAGTATTAGCTATAATTAATACACGATTGTGCTGGTTTTATACCTCTCACAATTAAGACCTGCCCAACAGTGATATCAGAGCCTTCTATCTTCCAATCTTGCTGCTTCCCACCCTGACCTGCCTGGGCCTCTCCATCCTCGTCCAGCCTCCCATGGCAGCTCCACGCCTGGCCGTGCCTCCACATTTCCCCTCTTTGGGT